AGAGAGTCAGGGGTGCACAGCAGGCCCACCACAGCCCCAGGCTGCACGCCGGGGGGATCTAGTCACATAGAGTGTTGGGGTTCTCAGGGATTGGCTGGTTTGGGCCTTGTTTTGAAATGGGATTCGCTTGATTTCTGGCGTATTGTGAAAGTCGGGGTGTTTATTTACCGCGTGAAAATTGGCAACTGTGCAACGGGAATACAGCACTTGATAGCCTGCAGCAGCTGCTCGTGCTCTAAAATGCAGGGAAGTTGGTGCTGTAAACGCTGGGCCTCCCTCAGCTAACCGTTAAAAGACAAAAACAAACGTCCGTATCAGCCCAACGTGTTCCAAAAAAAGATTCGCGTTCAGTGCTGTGGAGAGCGTGGAAAAGATGCAAAAGTCCCAGGCTGCATTGAAAGCCCCCTGGAGTCCTAGAAAGACTTGCATTGACTTCAGTAGGGTTTGGATCAGCCCTCTGGGAGAGAGACCAGGCAGATGTGTGTTTGCGAGAAGCCGTAATCTCCTATTAGGTGTGGAGATTCCATATGTGCAATTTATAGAGGGGATGGATTCAATACACCGTAAGGAATAACCCACTGATTGGGGCACAGAAAGGCGGGCTGCAGAACTATATACTCAAAAGACAAAACCTCTGGATAGTAAAGTGCCCCTAACCAATCAGGACTTTACTTTTCTCTCATGCAAGCTCCTATGTCTCTACCAGACGTTGCTCTGGAGGTTCTGATTGGTCAGAAGGGGCCTGTAGCGAGTGATTGGCCAATGTATTGTGTGAAACGAAGAGTTCCAGATGTCCAGGAAGAGTGGAGGACAGACAGGCCTGTGTGTGTAGAGACGGGGCAATGAGGAAGCCAAGTAGCGGCAGCAGTAAAGTTCAGACTACGACTTCTAAGCTCCTTTGGGGCTTTTTATCTCCTTGTTGAGGTGCTCAGATACCACTGGATAAACTAGTGAGCACTGACTCTGTACCAAACACAGTTCCTATTCCTGGGAGTTCACACGTGTCCAAAAATGAGACTGTGTGTATGAAACCTCCACAGCAGAATATAAACACGCTGTACAGCAGAGAAACACCTCCCTCTGCCTGGCTGAGTCTCAGGGCGTCAGCAGTAGGTGCTGAGTGTATGTCCCCCTGGATTTCAGGTGCCAGTGACATTTGAGGACGTCGCTGTCTATTTCACCCTTGAGGAGTGGGAGAAATTGACAGACTGGCAGAAGGCGCTGTACTGGGAGGTGATGAGGGAGAATTATGATCATCTGATTTCACTAGGTAAAGATCGGTTTTCATTGTTTGACTGCGTGTTGGAGGAGCTTTGACGTTCCTGGGTGGGATCAGAGACGGAGGCGAATATCCGAGCCCCCAGCTTTCCTGGGACATAAAAAGCTGCAGAGTTTTTGCAAATGAACATTGACGTGCCGAGTCCTGGCCCCACTACGAGTGATGCTGCTCAGATGCGGGTGTGGATTGCTGGCGCTGTCGAGAGCTTGCTCCAGGGGGTGGGAATGGGGAAGTCGAGCACAGGGTGGAAGGAGAATCTTTCAGACTGTTGTGTAATCCTGTCTTTGTGAACAGGGTATCCAGTTCCCAGACCCACTCTTGTGTTGCTGAACAATCCGGAGGAAGAGCCATCGCTCTGGGAGCATCAGGATCTGGAAGAAATAGAATTACCTGAAAGTGAGTAAGAACTTTACTAGCTTCCATGCTATAGAAACCGTGAGCAGATGTCTACCATCTGAGACAAGAGCAGCAATCAGAGATGAGTGTTTGTGTTGGACTGTATTGGGAAAGTGATCCAGGCCGTTGTCAATCCCAGGGACCCATGGGAGAGTTTACTGTCTAGTGAAAAGAATGAATTTTTGTTTCGGGGCGATTAACTGGAGGATGAGATCCAATGGCGTGTGGAGCTGGAGTAGAGGACTCAAGGAATTTTAGAGCAAACGCAGAATGGGTTGATATCAGAGTATCCAGGAAAACTCTCTGAGGGGTCCATGCTGTGAAACCTGTTATCTGAACAGGACTCCCTCCGGCAAGTCCCTCAGCTACATTGACCTTACAACTTAATTCAATACCACACACTTTTTGGAAAACTGTTCTAACATACAGCCTGATTTTTGTCACCTGTATCTCCCCTTACTCCAAAGCTAGTCCCACTGATTTCAATGGGAGTGCTTAATGCAAGAGTGGCAGAATCAGACCCATAATTAGGCCAGCTCACACTTGCTGTCGCAGACCTGCGTGACAAGGGCTGAGATGTCTTGGAAGCAAGGGTTAGTTGGTAACAGATTTCGTCTTTGCAACCAAAACATGTGGATGCCCAGAATGTTGTTTTTCTTTTTAATTCCAGCAGCTGATTTCAGGCTCCTAATTAAGGAGGATGAGGAGGATAAGGAAAATGCTGAGAACCTGGGACACGTCGAGACACCATTCAGAGGCTCTGAAAAGGAAGATAATTTGCTTTTTTCTATCCAGCGAGTAAACCGCACTGGTCAGGGCAGCCTTGCCGTGGGGAGGAGAAAAGCCCACCTGAAAGGAAACCACGTTGAAACCACAAATCCACAGCAGCTCAGCCCAGATGAGAAACCTCACCAATGTAGCGAATGTGGGAAAAGCTTCCAGAAGCGTGGGAATCTGAAATGCCACTTCCGGACGCACACCGGGGAGAGACCCTACCCCTGCCCGGAGTGTGGGAAGAGCTTTCGCCAAAAAGCACCATCTGGTAACACATCAGAGAACCCATTCAGGGGTGGCACCGTATAACTGCCCCCAGTGCGGGAGGAGCTTCAGCACGTCTGCCCGCTTTAAAACACACCAGAGCGCCCACCTGGGGGAGAGGGCATTGCATGGCAGAGAGGGTGGGGAAAGCTTCCAGACGCACGGGGTTCTTCACGTTCACCAGCGAACTCACGCTGGGGAGGAGCTGCACGTGCGTAATGACTGTGGGAGAAGTTTCAGCTGTAAGCAAACCCTTAGGATCCAGCAGAGAATCCACGCTGGAGAGAAACCGTACAGAAGCCCTGGCTGCGGGAAAAACTTTTGCATGCCCGTGCATCTCAAACTGCACCAGCAGATCCACGTGGGGGAGCGGCCCCATACGTGCGACGAGTGTGGGAAAAACTTCCGGAAGAGCGAGCACCTGAAGCGGCACAATCGGATCCACACAGGGGAGCGACCCTTTGCGTGCCCGGCCTGCGAGAAAAGCTTCACCCAGAAGCAGCACCTGGTGAAGCACCAGAGAACCCACACGGGCGAGCGGCCCTACCTGTGCAGCGAGTGCGGGAAGAGCTTCCGGACACGCAAGGATCTCCGCTTTCACCAGCAAATCCACACGGGAAAGAGGCTCCACGTGTGCGAGGCTTGCGGGAAGAGCTTCAGCCACAGGCAATCGCTCCTGAGGCACGCGAGAACTCACGCCGGGGGGAGCCCCTACACGTGTAACGACTGCGGAGAAGGCTTCGCGGTGCACAAGCAGCTCCGACGGCATCGGCAAAGTCACGCTGCGCAGAAGCCCGCCGAGCACACCTGCAGCGAGTGTGGGAGGGGCTTCCGGAAGAGCGAGAACCTGAAGCGCCATTTGCACACGCACACAGGAGAGCGCCCATTCCTCTGCACCGAGTGCGGGAAAAGCTTCATCCAGAAGCAGCACCTGGTGACGCACCAGAGAACCCACACGGGCGAGCGGCCCTACCTGTGCAGCGAATGTGGGAAGAGCTTCAGCACCGCCGAGTGCCTGAAGATCCACCGGAGAATCCACACGGGCGAGCGGCCCTACCTGTGCAGCGAATGCGGGAAGAGCTTCCGGACACACCGGGTGCTGAAAGTTCACCAGCAAACTCACACCGGGGAGAGTCTCTTCATCTGCTGCGACTGTGGCAAGAGCTTTCGGCACAAGCAGACTCTGGTGACGCACGAGAGGACGCACGCTGGCGAGAAGCCCTAAGACTGCACCCTTTGTGGAGACGCCTCAAGCTCCTCAAGATGCATCAAGAGTCTGGCTCTACACCTGCAGCAAGTGCGGGAAGAGCTTCCAGAAGGGTGAGAACTTGAAACGCCAC